CAAAACAAATTTTTAGCCGCTGCACATGTCTACTGCTTTGTATCAACGGTTCAGGCTGGTGGTGGTGTAATGGTGTGGGGGATATTTTCTTGGCACACTTTGGGCCCGTGATGCTATCATGTCAATATGGACCAAATTCTCTGAGGAATGTTTCCCATACCTTGTTGAATCTATGCCACAAATCTATGCCACAGTTTTGAAGGCAAAAGGGGGTCCAACCCCCTTTTGCTGAGTGTATGTGTAGATGCCATGTCAGTTCAGTAGCTGAAAATAAGGCACTAGCAAGAGGGACTCCCATGTATAATTTCATAATCAGTATAAGGGGGTCTAATAAGATAATCTGCAGTCCCTTCAATGCTCTAGAGGTGCAGTGACCTTGTATTTACACCAAACATCAGAAGCTCACTGCAGTAAACCTAATGAAGGGATGTGTTCCCTAGTAGGGGTGTGTTTTAATCTAGTACAGTAGTGTTTTGAATTTTTGCAAGGCAACTTAGGTACTTTCAGTTTTACATTACCAGCCAGTCACTTTGTTGAGGGGGCTTCAGAGTCCAATGAAAAGGGTTTTGTTCTGTCATTGTTACATATTACCGTGGCTGTGTCCAACTTGACATGCAGATGAACCGCCCTACCTGCAAATAAACCAGGCTGTATATGCAAACCTTGAACTTTCATTAAAACAATAGGGTGGGGTGAAACTGGGGAGTAAATGAAAATAAAATGCATTCAAAACACACAATATATAATATTTATTATTATAACATAATATAACAAATAAACAGAGCTGCTGGTGGGAATAACGAGTCCAAAGCTCACCAGCGATGTTGCCATTAAGGAACAGGGTGTTTCTCTACACTAAACATGTGCGAGGAAGGTGGCTGGGCTCCTGGGAATGTTTCTCATTCACATGTGCTCCTGTAAATAGAGTCTGAGCTTCCCAGGATGCACCTGTTATCTTTTCTGTAGATAGGGCTATTGGGAAGTATGGAAACTTTATAGAGGTTAAACACTGCTGAAACAGTCTTCTAAATATACAAAGGTAGTGTGTGGCCAGGGGTAGTCCAAGATAAAGTCAGTAGAAATAATAATTTATGCTGAAGCCATGACGCACCCCATTTGGTATTCAGGTCCTCAACAGAAAGATCAGTTTGGAAATAACTGAGGAACAACTTTGGTTTCTTTTCTGTCAAAAACCTTAACTTTAACTTGCAGACTTCCTCATCCTTTTTTGGAAAAGTTTAGGTAACAAGGGCCATTTGTTTTTTTTGTTGCTGGCAGTGCTTTACTAGAACAGCGTCACTGACCTTTCGATTAGGCTTGCTAACCTGCCACTTATTGTGTGGTTGTAAAGTGGACATGTACTGCTTTCTCCATCTATCCCAAAGGGTATTTGCAGGATTGTTCCCTTGTCTCCATTGGCACAAACACAGGTCTCTGGTATTGAAGTCTCCAGAAGGAGCAATGACTACTCAAATTTCCTGATTGTGGAAAGTTGTTGGAGTAAGAAAGGATCCTCTAGACCAGTGCTCCCCAACCTTTTTATCGCCGCGGACCGGTCAACGTTTGAAATAATTCCGCGGACCGGGGGTTGGGGAACACTGCTCTAGACCATTTCGAACAGGAGTTAGTGGTCTAAAATAATGATGGATTAGACCGCTGCCATGAAGGTTCTTAGACTCTCATGAGTGAGCTTTGAAGTTCCTACTTGTAGGAAGATAAAATCAAGAATTATTCTACCTATCATTCTGTTCCAGGCCCCTCACATGTGAGAAGAGTGAGGCAGGTTCAAAATTCATGTACAGCCCAGACCACTCAGATATTTCTCTACATCTTTGTAATGATGTTTGAAGACATATATAGTTCTTTGGCTGCCCCAACAAAGTTAGTGCCTCTGTCTGAGTGGATGTGTTTTACAGGGCCCCAAATAGCAATGAAACATCTGAGGCCATTTATTAAACTAAAAGTGTCCATACACAATAACCTAAATATGAACAGCTTTAATGGTCATAAAGGTGAATACGACTTCTCAGTGCTTGCTGTTTGCATGGCTTCCTCTAGTGTGCCATGTGAAAATACAGTCAGTCTCCTGACATAGGTTTCATACTGCACAGTATGTATGACAATATCTTGAATTTTCTGATGTTCTGCTGCTCAATGGACATCTTGATAATGATGCCAGCCTTTACAGTTACCGTCATGTGAATGTTTGACACCTTTGAAGAAAAAACGTATGTGGGTTAGGCAAGTAAGAGAGAGACTAATACGAAGGCTGTGGGTCTTGTTTGCTAGAATAGAGAAGCACTAGAACAGTGGTGGTCAGGTTTTTTTTTAATTTAAAGGGCCCCAGATGTGGCCTTCAAAATGTCCAGAGGACTGCACAATGCCCTCAACACCCACAATAGCCAAAGACACTACAAATGGGCAGATCCTGATGGTGATGCTGAGCTACTAGTTCCCCATCAGGTCTGCTCTGCTACAGATTGACAGCAGGTAGTGGGTGGATTCTATAGCCATAGCCAGCCTGCAATTGACTTTGGAATCTGTCCACTGCCTGCTGTCAATCAGCAGCAGAGCAGACCTGATGGGGAACTAGTTCCTTTGCATTCCGATTAGGCTTCGCTCATATAGCCAGATCTTTGGTTGCTATAAATGTGTCAGCTATGAAGCCAAAGGCATCTTAGCATCTGGCGACTTAGCCCTGGCCCTATTCAGCTGCCATCTAGGAGATTGCAGGATGCCAGCAGTCCGGTGTACTAGCAACCAATTAAAGGGAAGCTGTCAAATTCATGACCACTTCCATCACATAGATATGCCACTCCGAGGTCAGATGATCATGAGCACACACATATAGTTTCTTCAAACCTTCCTATATTTAACTATATGTGTGTGCCTGTGATCATCTGAACTCTATGTTTAACTTCCACATGGTGCCATCCATGTCATCATTTCAAGCACCACTTTCCTGAAGGTCGCAGATATTGACATATCTCTATACACCAGATCTGTAAACTGTTGGAAAGCTACTGAAATGTTATTAGAGGGCTTTTTAAATTTGGATTTTAAAAGGTCCATACTACCAGAAAAGTGGAGCTGAGCCTTTATTGATCCCCCCCCCCCTCATGTTTCTTCTACAATAAAATGCCTGCCGGACCCCCTTGTTTTCATTTTTAGTTAAAATTCCACCTTAAAGAAGACATTATAAACAGTCACTACTGTTTGTTTTGCTTTGTCTCCCTGGTGAGGCTATCACAGCACTCAATATGGCCAGCACAGCTGAAAACACTGCGGGCTGCGCACACTGTGCAGATTGGTCACTTGGACCTGTGGGCCAAACGTCAGGCACCAGGGAATCGGAGCCTCCAGCTCTGAGGTTGATGTGCTCTAGAAACCGGTGGTTTCTGTAGGTGCCGCTGGACTTGAATCAGGAGGGTGCATTTTGTGCAGAATCTTCTTGCTATTGCTAGTGTTGTATCTTGACCCAACACTGGGAATTAGGCAGAGTAGGTACCTGCATGGCGCCCCTCGTTGGAGGGCGCCTGTAGGCATGTGCCTACTCTGCCCAATGGTAAATCCGGCCCTGAACACCCCCCACACCTCTGTCCCCTGCCTTCATGGCAGGCAGGCAGTTGAAGCAGAAGCTTGACTAAAGCATCGCACAACGGTATGATCATTTATTTAAAAATACATTTAAAACCATAACCCTCTGCATATGGCAACTTTAGAATCTCTGAGGGAACCAGGAAAATCACCCAGTTTCTGTTCTAATGGATTCTTTCAGAGGCTGGTGTTACATGATCTGTGCTGTCCCCATGAAAGCTATTGTGAATTATTTGAACAGATACAAAATCTATGAACACGTGAGGCGCTGATTCTGAACAATAGAGAAGATACACACACATGACGCAGAGGCGCATCCAGAAGATGAAGAATCTGACCTGTAGTTGGCATCACACCGATTTGCCAGTATAGAATCGGTTGGATCTTCTCTGCCTTAGCATATGAGGCAACAGTGTTGGGAGACTGTCAGGAATGTGCACTGGGCGCCACCTTTTGACGCCTGTGTGTATGGGACCCTTACCTAGTCTGCCACTGCAAAGAAAGTCACTTCAAAAGCTCAGGATTTTAAAACAATGTCCTGCTTTAAAAAAAAAGAAGAAATGACAGGAAGCAGAGGATTTGTATATATGTATACTGCAATACCCTAACTCTTTTTCCAAAATATCCTAAGTTAAAGGGTAGCTGGTACTAGAGCATCCTCTTATTTGTGCCCTAGTCAACCTGAGCTCATTCCAGAGGCTTTAAAGACCATTCTATCACAACTCCTTGCAAATAAAAACAGCAAGTCCTTGACCATTTGAAGTCTCCCAGCTCAGGCTTGTAGCTTCTACCTAGAAGGTCAATGAAGAAACAATTAGGTTTTGTATCAGCATCAGACAGTAATGAGGTCAGCAGCTCCCACATCCAACCTGTTGCCTGCTGAGGATGGATCAGCGTGCACATTGTGATGAGTGGCATTGTGTCACGGATAAATGGGAAGCTTAGCATAAAGGACAGCTGGAATAGAAGAGATGATGAACACGTTCAGCTCGCTCGGTCCCTCTGCTCCCATTGTCACATCGCTGCCGCAGCACGAGGGAAGGATTTCACCGATCGGTTTGATCATTCCGCCACCTAGTTTTCCCAGGCGTTAATTGCTCCGGGAAGCTTGCACTTTGCAGTAGACTGATCGAAAAGCAACAGGGGGATTGATGGTGGAGAGGTGATGAAGGTGTGCTCTGCCAGACGGGGGACATCCATGTAGAATGGTGTACATTCAGCACGGCGTCACTTGTGCCGCTCTCTGCCTCCTGCCCCTTCCCTCTCTAGGTGGCTGAAGGTGTGTGTTACTGATTCCTGCACCATAGCCCAGTGCAGGGCTACGACCAGTCCTCTCAAAGCCACCCAGCCCAGCTCGGCCAGTGCCATTCACCCGGGCTATAGGAGTCATAGGAGCTCCCAGCACTCATCATGGAGGTGCAGGACGAACGGACTTCTGAGACGGCCCAGGACCTCATATCCCCGGCCGAAAGGGACGATGCCGGGCTGCCACAATGTGCAAGTAAGTGCAAGACCTTTATTAGCGTGAAGAGCTGCATGTGTCAAAGGCAGCCATTTAACCCTTCACACCGCAGTCATTAAAGTGACAGCGACTGCACGCTGCTCATCGGTGACAGGTGCGGAAAGCCCAGCATCGGCACAGCAGTGTACCGCAATGTGTACTTACCATAGCCACAGCCAGCCAGTGTTCCTCATGACACTCTGTGATCTTTTTAACCCTGCACTTTGTTGCTAGTGCCATTTAGAGGTTGATTTAGTTGGAGCCGAAATGATCAAGGTTGATGTTAAAAATAAAATCTTCCTGGTGTTTTATAGGTTAAACTCGATGGACTTTTTTCAACCTGACTAACCATGTAACAATGGTTACTTGGTTAGCTTTGTGCTTATTGTCTTTACTATTACAGACTACAGTACAGGTGGACAGAATGGGACCAGAGCACTGCTTTCAGGATGTAGGGATCTTGCCTAAGTCTGCTTATAAATGTTTTCACACAGGATTCACACAACTACCTTACTTAGGGCAGGGACAGATGTGATGAACTGATTTGCGCTATGCAAATTGTTGGCACTATTACAAATGCCTGTTATAAACTTTCACCTACGATTTATGTTTTCTTATGGGATACAGTAGGGTAAATGTGTGAATTGTGGGTAAAAGTGTGAATCTAGTGTGAAAATATTTATGAATACACCCCCATGCTATAGCTCACTTACAAATAACGCACCAGGATAAGCATCTTAATTTTTTTTAAAGGATTGTTATTTTCAGTTGAGTGAAATCCATTCAAAACATTAGCCATATGTTTGAAAATAAAGATCTTTATCATTGTATCAAAGCTTTTTGCATTGGGCTTGTGTGAGACAGAATGACTGCATGCATAGAGTTTTCATGTTACCCCCTTATAGTTGATGTTTCAGTCTCCTGCACTAGGGTCTGTTTTTAATGCTATAAAGTTTGACCTGCTGTGCCTACACAGTATTATTCTATCACCAATATTAGCTACATCCTAAACATGGGTGTTGTTGGAATATGAACACCGCAATAGCTATAACATGAAGATCCTACATCAAGACACTATGGTTTACAATACTAGAAAATGCATTCCATTGTATTGTAGGCAGCTTTATGATGACTGTATCATTTCAGGTTTGTTGATTCTTTTGGATCAACACATCCAACCCACAAATAGAAACTTCCCGTGCTTATACTTTTTTTTTCATCTTTCATAATTATGCCTATATGTAGTAACCTTCATTGTTAGTACAATTACCCAAATAATGCTTATAACACCAGGATGTTATTCTGCCGTTTTCTAGATCAACACATACAAGGATGAACTCTAAAAACTTGCATCTGTATCTTCCTATGTATTGCCTTTTTGTGTGGATGTTGATAGAATGAGTAGAATTATCCAATTCCTGGGGACCTATTTAACAAGCAGGATTTTACAGGAATCTGCCTTGTAATATGCAGGATGGTGTAGGAAGTAATCCAATAAACCTTTACATTAGGTTACCACATTCCAGATGCTCAGCATTATGCAGCTTCTGTGCTCTAGAGCTTAGGATATGTTCTGAACACCTCATTTGTCACAGCTCTGAGCAGAGTTGATTTCTGTGACCTTTTCTAACCTGATTAGTAATGTAACCCTGAACAGAGACACGGTGATACAAAGTGAAGACATTACTGCTTTGCAGGATGACTTTTTGTCTCCAGCTGGTGCTGACAACACTTAAGAATTAAGCAGTCCTGAAAAGACCAACCCTGCTGGATGTGTTCTACCTGTGGTTTTTAGACTAGCCTGTGTGTGACTAAATGAAGATAGTCATTTTTTTTTTTCATGAATCTACCGTATCTTTGCTTTGCGCATTTTTGTTTTAATTTGTTCTTCGTCCCGTCTTATTCTGTGTCCATAGCAACATACTTTGGCAACAAGAGACAGGCATCGAGGCACTGGGTCCAGCACTATTATAGCACACGCAACTTATCTGGAGGTGTTGTGTGATTGCCATCTGGAATAAGATATTTGTGCTTTGGGGTATTTTGAAGCTCTGTTCTTCAAGTCAACTCTCCCTAATGTGTATGCAAGGTGCTGATTTCATTCATTGCCTCCAGGTATAGTCAGCTGGTGAATACGTTGGATTTGAACCTAATATTGTTTCTATGATGTTCAGCATGAAAACTTTAACACTATACAAAAAAGAGCTGCATTGTGAGTTTGTCTCTCGGAAAGAAAAATAAATCATCATGAGTTTGGAGCTCATTTTAGATATGCTCAGTCCTCATGGTAAGCTGTAGTGCTGCATCACTTGTTTCCCAAAGTGTAGAACTAGTAGCACATATTCTGATGCAAGTAGTAATAACCAGCACCCCGAAGCTTGAGATGCCATTCCAGAATAATTACAGGTGAAACTCGAATAATTAGAATATCGTGCAAAAGTAATTGCATTAAGTGCTGCAAAAGGGGCCCAAACCAAGTACTGATACATATGCATGCTTGTACTTTTCAGAGGTCCGATATTGTTCTATGTACAATCCTTGTTTTATTGATTGCATGTAATAATCTACTTTTTTGAGTTTGTGGATTTGGGGTTCTTGGGGTTTTCATGAGCTGTAAGCCATAATCATCACAATTATGACAAATCACAGCTTGAATTATCTTGCTGTGCATGTAATGAGTCTATCTCATATATTAGTTTCACCTTTTAAGTTGCATTAGTGAAATAAATGAACTTTGCACGATATTCTAATTATTCGAGTTTCACCTGTAGCATCTAGTAGGAAAATATGGGGCATCCAGTAACAACTGCCTGTGCTTTTGTCTTTGGGTTAATTTGTGGTACTGTATGTTGGGTTTTAGCATCAAGAATACAGTCAAAAAATAAAATTACCCCAATACCCACCCTGACCACTAACCTAATCCTTGGGCCAACCCTCTCACTAAGCCTCCCCCTAACACAAGCCCCAAAACGTACCATTACAGTTACATTGAACTTAAACATGTAACCTTCCCCATAGTACACTGCACTAAACCTAGTGACACTAAATTCAAAAGTTACAGCCTAAAATTGGATTCAAGTACCCCAACTATTTACAAAAATGTATCTTATTTGTGTATCACTCGGCTGTAGCTCTTCACATCATCTCTGAATTAGTGCCAACACTGTTCTTCTCCTTCTTCTAATGTAACGTTGCATATTACCTGTAAGTTTGTTTCATAACAATAAAAAAAAAAACACTGTCACTGTCCTTCCTTCTGGTGGGTGGCTACTTTTGTTCCCCATGGTCCCTGTGTGTTGTAAAGTAGCCACCGCTTTAAGCTCATTCTTGTGATGATAGACTACAATCTCACATTTAGTTTACTAATTTGTATTGAGATTGTAGGGAGCAAGCATGGAGCGGGGAGTACATAACAGTTTGTGGGAGTAAAATAAGCCCCACTGTTGGTGTCAATAGCAGCAATAATAACTCCTAGCATTAGGATCTGTGCCAGCAATGATAACCCCAAGCATGTTACATAGTATTTGGGGTTGAATAAAGACATACGTCCATCAAGTCCAACCCATATAGGTCCACGCATCATCTCATTCTTAGGGATACTAGTATCCCTGGATATTACGGTCCCTCAAGAAATTGTCCAAACGTTTCTTGAACAAATCTACACTCTTGGCTGAAATCACTGCCGATGGTCAGGGTCAGCACCAACCCCCAGCCTGTGCCAGGACCAACAATGATAAACCCCCAGCCCTAACCCCCAACAAATGTCAGGGCCAAAAATGAAAACCTCTAAAAAAAAAATGTGTCAGGGCTAGAAATGATAAATCCCAGCACTAACCCCCAACAAATGTCAGGGCCAACAATGAAAACCTCTAAAAAAAAAGTGTCAGGGCTAGAAATGATAAACCCCAACCCTAACCCCCAACAAATGTCAGGGCCAACAATGAAAACCTCTAAAAAAAAAGTGTCAGGGCTAGAAATGATAAACCCCAACCCTAACCCCCAACAAATGTCAGGGTCAGCAATAAAAAAAAAAACAGCAATAACCCCCAAAATATGTCAAGGCCAGGAGTGATAACCTCCAGGGAAAATGTCAGGGTCAGCAAATATAATCCCCAGCACTTGTCAGAGCCAGCAATAAGAACCCCCATCAATAACCCTCTGCAAGTGTCCGGGAAGGCAATGACCCTCAGCACAATAATTAATCCACAGCACAATGATAACCCCCAGCATAATAATAATAATCTCCAGCATTGGTGTTCAGTAGTTTTATTTAACTGAGCACCCACTCCCACAATGCTCCCTCTCTCTCTCTAGCTGCTGCCGAAACTAGAAGTTATTTATTTAACTGAGCAAGTCAATTGCAGTCAGTATGCTGGAACCCAAAGAGGTGAATTATAAATCATTTGCACACTAAGCAGCTATGACTGCTCATTATAGCCACTAGATGGTGTCAGGGAGCATAGGTCTTCTTTCCACACCCTCCCACCCCCCAGCCTTTTTATATCTTTAAACATACCTTTTTTTCCATGTTTTTTCGATCCGGATACATAATATCATAGGTCTTCTTCATCCTCTTTTTCCTATAGTGTGGGGTGGGTCCTAAATGCTGCAGAGAACACACTCCCTGTTTCCTGCAGTAGTCTCCAATGTGCCCAGGGCTCCTTGATGACCCAAAAGCAGTGTGTCCTTGACACTTCTCCATTCCCCTTTCCCTACCCATATGAGAGTGAGCATCATTCAACCGAGAAAAGGTCCATTGATGGATTACAGGACATAAAGTCTGCAGAGGCTTTACTGGAGAGGGCATGAGTGTTGCAGCTGCCTTTTATTTTTCAAAGAGCTTGTCAATAGATGAGTTAGATGAAATAAGAATACCTGGAATTTGGGGTTTTAACTGCAGTAGGGAAAAGTCATGTTACTGAGATGGCTGTGCAGTATAAAAGGGGTGCCTGGTTCACTGAAATGGCAGGATACAGTTACAGTAAAACAATTCAGGTTTG